TTTTGTTTTTGTCCACTATATTTATTTGTTAATTCCAACTCTATCATATCCCTCCCTTTTAAAGGATGCTATTTTTAACCCTCCTAGGAAAAAAAAACAGTAACATGCCTTTATAAATAAGACAAATCTCATATCCTATTTGTATCAACACCCATCAACCCTCTCAAGTCTCTATCCACAGTATCTAAGACCTTAAACAAAATAGGATACAACTGCAAACTGATGTTGTGCATTTGCTCCGTGGCATTAATCTTAGCTCGCGTCTCCTCAGCCACTTCTAGAAGAGATATCAGAGGCTTCATCGATGAACACAACAAAGCTCGAGCGGCGGTCGGTGTCGGTCCAATCAAATGTAACGAGGCCATAGCAAGGTATGCACTATGCCAATGTAAGATCTAGGGACTACGCAATAGAGCACTCGATGAAGCCTTATGGTGAGAGCATAACCTCAGGTGAAGGCATGACGGGTGCAGCTGCTGTCAAGTATTGGGTTACCGAGAATGAGTTCTATGACTACAACCAAAACAAATGTGTTATCGATGAATGTGGTCACTACCTTGCTGTGAATTGGAGCAAATCAACCTATGTTGGTTGTGCCACATCGTTGTGCACGAATGGACAAACCTTTGTCGTTTGCGATCAGTGGCGAAGCCAGGATTTCTCGGGGGGAAAGGCGAACTTAAAAGAATGCAAGGTTAAATAAAAATGGCAACAACTAAATCTTTTTATATAGTAATGTCTTCCATAATTAATCAATACAAACAAATTACAATTGTTGCCGGCAAGGTTTCATGTCATGAAAACGTCGCATAATAGGCTCATTATCAATAAAAGAAAATACATCTTTCTCAATGTAAACAAGCATGCTATCACTCAACCATTGATCTCCCATTTTGTTGCAATGGTGTTTTCACAATCTTCATAGCAGAAAAAGCTCTCCACCGAAGCGGTTGCAACCGGTAACACCAAAGCCAATGTAAAAAGTTTATACACTAACATATAGCTTTCACACCTCCCGGTCTTCACTAACTCTTTTGCAAGATCACTAATTCCTCTCAATGATGAAAACTCACTATGCATCTTCATATCATGAATGTAATTGTCAAGTTGAATTGGAAGATTCTTGAGGTCTATACGATCAAAATCTTGAGGATAAAGTTGGGCTAAATGAACAATTTTTGCTTTGTCAAAAGATGCAAAATTATTCACCGGACTCAAACATGTCATACAAAGAAGTAACTCGGTGTTTACCTCATTGAAGAGATCATTCAACTCCTTTAGTTGCATATCAAGGACTTGAAAATAGAGGTCCACACGATAGTAATGGAAGTTTGTGATTTTTGGAGCTTTACGCCTTGATTTTCCAGGTACGAAATGCAAATCCTCCATGTTATGAACGATAATATCATGCTCCTCACAAAACTTTTCTACATCATGAAGCAAGTCCCCAAAGTCATCATCTCTCAAGGATTGTCGTCTTTGCTTGCATACTTCCACTAACGCCATCACATTCACAATATCTTGATCTTTCTTTTGCAATGCTTGTGATAACTCATTTTTAATTCCCAATATAAGTCTCATCAAGAAAAGGTGAAATGCAAAATCAAAAGTTTGTATGTCTTTGAATAACCTAGTTGCTTCACCTAGATTATCTTGGTTGCGATCACTTTTAATCCATTCAACCACCTCTATCACGGCTTCAAACATAACAATAATACTAACTATAGTACCATAATGCGAGTTCCACCATGTATCACATGGACGCATGAGACTCATTTCTTGATTTAACCCTTTACCCATTTCAAGATTACCAAGATCAAGAGCTTTATGAATTTGTTCTTGTTGTTTCTCTCTAAATACATCACGACGCTTACACGATGATCCAATAAGATTCACCAAACTACTAGTGTTGATGAAGAAATTGACAACATCCTCATTTTCCTTTGTCACGAATACAAGAGCTAGTTGGAGTTGGTGTGCAAAACAATGAATATGAAAATGCTTGGAGGTATTTGTTCAAAATCTTTGTTTTAAGACCATTTAACTCACCTTTCATATTGCTAGCTCCATCATAGCATTGTCCTCGTAACTTGGACATACTCAAATTTGTTGTAGCAAACAATCTTTCAATGGCCTCTTCAAGCGAGTTACTAGTTGTAGCAAACAATCTCTCAATGGCCTCTTGGGAGCATTCTCAAACACAACCTTCCTAACTTGTTCATTATGCTTGGAAAGAAATTACATAAGCTCCAAATAATTGCCCCTATTGCTTGATTTCAACGATTCATCAGGACCACGAAAAGGCAAACCTTGTCCCAACAACCATCTTGCGCACTCAAGTGAGACACTCAATAAAGTACAATAATTAATGCGAGCTTTATCGGTTTGCTTAATCACAAATGTTTCAATGTGTTTTTTTTGTGTCATCAAATCTCTAGCTTGTTGTACAGCTTTATTATGAAGACTTCCAACACCTCCCTCATGGACTCGAAGATTTTCGGGTCCTTTCTTCCAATTTGTAAACCCTATCTTAGTAAAGACATCACTTCTAGTGCTACCCATTTGATCAAAATCACATTTGAAAAGATAACAATAACAGCAAAATGCAGCATTTTTTGATATACTATACTCCAACCACTTAAACTTATCAAACCAACGAATGATAAAACATCGATTGTCGCTAACCTTTCTTGGCATGATGTGGTCTCTAGGTTGACAAAGATCAACTTGGAGATAGTGTCTACGAATTACTTCACGATAATTTGGTGGATAATCAAGCATTCGACGTCTATGTGCAGGGTCTGCAAGAAGATTAGCCAATATTTCATCCAACTCAGTGGCTTCACTTTGTTGTGACCTACTTGGAATATTTGAAGGATGACTTCTTGGAATATTTGAAGGAGCTGAAGGACTACTCGGAATATTTGAAGGAGAAGGACTACCCGAAATGTTTGAAGGAGGATTTAAGCATTGTTTCTTATAGTATCGTTCCATTATGTAACTGTAAAATGGAAAGAAATAAAAATTCTTAGACTCTTAATCCTAAAGTAGACTATACTATTATTATAGTATGTATAATAACTAATCCAACCAACCAACAATTCAATTAATCAAAAGTACTAATATTAGTTAAAGATGGCTCATTGCGTCCATCCTGGTGGCTTATTACCAATAATTTTAGTTAAAGATGGCTTTTGACATGCCAATTTATCTATATGTACAATTATACAAACATATGATAAGAGTAAGAAGCAAATTAAAAGCACGATTCTTTTAATTCCCAATTCGTATCAATAATTTCACCCTAAAAAATAATTTCATAATTTCATATCAATGATCATAGAAGCATATGATTCACATCAATAATCAATAACCAATAACCAATAACCATATTAATGCATTACCATATGATTCTATACCAATTAAATGAAATTTGTATTAAATAATTAATTAGGGTTGGGGATTATACATTTAAGAATTAAAAAATTTACCTTAAAATGGTGATTGGTGGAAGTCGACGGCTCAAGCTCAAGGTGGAGAGGAGAGTGGCTTGTGAACTGTGAAGGCTCAACAGAAATTAAAGGGGACTCACTTGGCGTTGGCTTGGCTACTGGGATTTTGGGGAGCAGCTTGGCTCTCTTTCTCTGTGTTGATTGGTGAACAAACGGCACGAGATAAGCAAAGTAAATGGGAACAGGGTCGAGAGGGGGGGGACATATAGGGCTTTGGGGCGACACGCGGAAGGGAAGCGGTCCCCCTTTATAATTTTTTTTAAAATTCAAATATACAAAATGGCACCGTTTTGTTTTACAATTTTTAAATTTTTTTTATCTGGCCCAAAACGACGTCGTTTTGGTCTGGTTTTTTTTTTTTAAAATTAACAGCAATCTGCGCAGAATAGATTGCAGATTGCCCAAAAAAAAACAAAGGAGATGAACCAGGGTTTTCCGACGAGGCGCGCGCAAGGGGAGTGGTGAAGAGCTGGGTCCAATAGTGTTTTCCGGCGAGGGGAGTGGCGGCCCTCACGTGGCTTCGCCACTGTTTGCTATTATGATCCTTCTGAACCAGATGGCAAGCACTCTTACTAAATGAGTAATAAAACTTACATTATAGCCTTGTACCTTTAGCACTTGTTCACTCGTTCCATGATAGGTCATGTTACAAGTGTGATTTTCTCATGCATACTAGACACGACCATGTTTTGGTTGGGTCTTCTGTTTTCTTCTTTTGGATAAGAAATTGGAAAAGAAAAGGGAATGAGAGTTACATGTAATTGGTGTACACCCTAAAAAGAATAAAAATCATTTCAATTTTTCTTCCTCAAATCAAATCTCTCCCATTTGTTTCCTCTCCATATCACTAAATTGTGAAAATTTCTTCCATATTACCCTTTACACATTTACGAAAGGGAATTGTTATTAGCATTATTTTTATTATACATTTCTCACAATTGATTTTTTTTTAAATATAGAAAATTTAGAGTACAAAATAAAAATTTAGAATGCTAATAATAATTTCCTTACAAGACTGCTATTAGAGTTCTATTTTTTATTTATTTTTTCCTTCTCCATGAAGGAGCATATGATGACTTTCATGGAACTGCACTTTTAAATTGTATTAGGGCTTGTTTGGATGTGCTTTTAAAATGACTAAAAAAGCTTTTGATGAAAATGTTTTTTATACCAATCCTTAGTAAAAATCCAAGTGAATCCTAGAAAAACACTTAAAGTACTTCCTGCAAGAAGCACATATCTGGTGCTTCTTCCAAAAAGCACTTAAACGTGCTTTTGGAACTCAAAATCAATTTAACCAAAAGTGTTTTTAGACATTTTAAAAACTCATTCAAACGAACCCTTAATCAATATATGAACTGCACTTTTAAATTGTCTATTGTATTTTAATAATCCAAAACGTTTAATTTTAGGTCTCTCTTCAAGTTCATTCTTATAGAAGCTCACTCAATTCTGAGTTCATTTAACCACTTAAATAAGCGACAATCATTGGAACGTTATCTTGAAATACGTATACCATGTATGTTGGTTTATCTTTTTTTTACACATCACTTGTAATACTACAGCAGTAAAGTTTTAATTTGTACAAGGTATTTGAACCCTAACTGTATACCAGCTCCAACAATTGAACCTGATAAGAAAATAGTAAAACAAAAGCTCAAAGACGCACAAAATTACAATCAACCCGCGTATTCTATGATCATAAAGCCCCGAAATTACAACCAATCTGCATATTCCATCACCATTAAGCCCGGAAAGTTTCTCGGTAAGGCATCTGTAACATTTTCTTGTACACTGAGTAACACGACCAAGCATATATAGGCAAACACACAAATCCATCCAGCAGAATATGAGCCCCATACCTACAAGCAAGGGGAATCGAAGAAACGAACATCTTAACCCTACTCACGTTTTTCTTCACTAATTGTATCGGCCAACGCAGGCCGTTCAGTTGCTTCCTCAATCTCTGAACCAGCTCTGACCGGGCTGGCACTTGAGATTGCACTGTCGTCCAGAGAATCACTGGCTTGCTTTGTTGGCCCACTGCTGACCCCTGTTCTTGAATTGTCCAAACTAGGGGTCATAGGGGTGTTAGAACCAGAAGTATGCCCTTCCAAATGTTTTGGCTGATTTAAGGCGTGGCAGTGCGGGCAAAAATAAGTGATGTAAGGGAAATCTTCCTTCTTAGCAAGCCCTGCAAAGAGAAACAAATGAGATCGTTAGATTCAAGCAAAAGAACGAAAGAAAACTAACACTGAGGAGAGTACTATAATATTCGGATGTTGATAACCTACCGTTGTGCATATGACAGTTGCCGCATATGAGCGCATAAGACTGTGTTGGATCCTCACCCACAAGTAATGCTGCAATCCGAGCAATCCATCCTCCATCCTGTGGAGATGGTCCTTGAGGATTATGATGACTAACGACTAGCTGATTATACTCAGAAGTCTGACCATCAGACCTTGCAGAACGAGGTGTCTCTTCTTCAAGAGGATTCAGCGGGACACTCCCGGTACTATTCGATCTGGTGTGTACTGGTTTACGGTTTCGAAGTTCACCAGAGTGGACAAGATCAACATCATGGCTTTTCCCTGCTGAGGCATTACCCTTAGATTCATCACCCACATAAAATTTCATACCTGAATCCATACTCAACTTAGATGCCAGGACAGTTGCAGCAGCTGCCTTTGCTGCTGGGTCAGGATCATATCTCTGCATAAATGACATAACTTAAGCGCAAACCAAGGAACATCTTCATATATACCATTCTTCAAACACAAACCAGTGAGGATTTCCGTAAAGTTATAAATAAATAGCATAAAACCCAGCAAAGGGGTATACAAGAGCCAAGTCTGGCACAGTGCTCACAAACCAAACACTTCACTTCAGCCCACAAGAATGGTTTCTTCGGTTCACTTTACATGAGCTCCTGGAGTTCTTTCAACCAAAATTAGTAAATAACATCTAAGAAACTCTATAAAACCATTCAAACAGTCAACTCAGGTAACTCAGATGAAACTAGGGTCTTGGAAATCCCCGTTCTCAACCACCTTGTTTGGATAACATTTAAAAGGAATCTGCAAAACACGGGTTTACTAAAACATAAAAAAGCCAACTAAACCTACCTCTAGAGATGGGTTTTTGCAATCGTCTCTAGAGTCCCAAACCTCCCCGTCGTCGATCTCACATCCTCCACTCCTCTCCAAATCCAAGCTCATTGATCTCACGTCTCCTCTTCTCCTCCATCAAACCCCACCTCTCTGAACCCACCGTCGAGTGCTTCCTCTCTGACAACTTCGAGTGCACAGTCAAACCCCTTGATGTCTGCAACTCCATTCACAACATATCAACGTCATCATCCAATTCTTCATCTTCCAATTCTTGACCGACATCATCATCCCAATCTTCATCTTCTCCAGCGTTAATTCATCTTCTCTGGGGTCGTCTTCTCCAGCTTTCAATCCTTGTTTTTCTTTTCATGCTATTTTTATTGAAACAAAATTATTTATTATATTTTTATTTAACAAGCATTTATCATGATTAGGACTGTTGGATAATCTTTTACCGGACTTCTTTATTCCTTTTTCCAGTTTTGATTTATGCATTTTTTTTAATGAATTTGAATTTATCCTTTTCCATTTTTTTTAATATTTAATTTTATCATGCTTGTTGAATTTGAATTTATTGTATTTCAATTTTACGTTTGTTGTGTACAATCTGGATTATGTTCCAGATTTCTTCTTTTTTCCAATCATGATTTCTATATTATTTTTTCAAATGGCTGACAAATAAAAATTAAGCAGATCTCAAAACCCAAGTTTTTCAATCCCACCATTGCTTGATCCCCTCATATCCAAACAAGAAACTTCAAAACCCAGCATCCTTAATCCCTTCACTCCTTACTCCCATCATTGACAAATCCCTTGGAGCCAACAAAACCCCCATCCAAAACAGGCCCATAAGGGGAAAATGATGCATCAAAACCTACCCTATTCACCCGATAAAAGTTCAACAAACTAACAGAAATACCAAAAAGAAATCAATAATGAGACATAAAGACGTACAATGTTTACAATATAGCAACAAAACTCTTCCTAATCATTACCTGAATAAGTTGTTGAGTAGTGTAATAGTTTGTCCTCTCTTTAAGTTCATCAATTTTTGCTTGCCTTTCAGCTCGAAGCCTTTCCAGGGTTTTGGTGTCCTTGCGATCACCTATACATTGAAACATATGGATATCAGATTGCTGATGCATGTCAACGCATAACATTAGACAAATACCTTTCGGTTAGTGGCGGCATCCTGTTTGGAAATTGAGTCAAAGAAAAAGATGGGTTCATATACCAATGATCAAAAGCATTCAATAAACATTTTAAATCAACAGTAATTAACTAATGAAAACATCCTAGCTCTAGTTTCTAGCCTTCTGTCAATGATCCATTACAACGCCAACATGGTGCTAGGCTCCTAATCCCATATGTTTGATGCTTCAATATGGACTTCATAAGATACAGACATGCATGAAAGCTGATAAGCAGACTCACAACATACATAATTTACAAAAAATAAGATGTCAAGAAAGGCATGATATACGTACACATTGAAACAATATTGAACTTTGAAAATTGTGAATAAAGCTTTCCTGCCCTAAATGCCATATGATGAGAAATACACACCATGTACACTAAAAACATACAACGAGGCTTAAAAAACTCAATAAAAACCAAGTCAGAAGCCACCAACGCAAGGATTAACCAATAAGTCTAAATGCCGCTTAAGTCCTATCTAATGCACAACCGAAATGCTATCACAAAAACAGAAACCAGATGCCTTTGCAAAACAAATGTTCCAGATATGATCACATGAACATAACAACAATAAGCAAGCTGTAAAGTTTTAGACACTCACGCATCTTTGTGAAGCTGGCAAATGCTGAATACGAAACAGAAGATATAGCAGGCAAAAGAAACATGGGCAGAATACGAAATGTCCTCATCTTCCAATCTAAATCCGTCGCTCTCGTCGTTACTATAGCATAAAAAATTGCAATAACCTGAAATTGACAAAATTAAGCAAAACCCAGCATTCTTCTCCGATACTATCACACTTCAAAACTCCATTTCAAGAAGCTTAACAACTGTTGTGGTGCATTCCTAAACCTTTAATGGACATTAGCACGAAAAATGGGAATCCTCAACAAAACCCTAATTAATGGGTTTTACAAATTTGCTGCGATGAATTAAGCAAAGCAAGAGATTTTCAATAACCTCAAAGAAGACGGAGAAGAGAATGAGATGTCTGGTCATGCGCCTCCAAGTAATGGTCCGCCTCTGCATTCTAGCGAGGACAGTGGCTTCCTCTTTCGAAATGTACTGAAGCCGCTTCTCGAAATCGTCGCGGTGTAATCGGAAGATCCCACTGAACATTCTGGAGAAAATTCCCTGGCGCTTCTTCTTCGCAACCGCAGGCGCTGCCGCCGCCGCGGCGTCCTTCTTGTCGCCTTCTCCTCCTACGGCTTTATCCTCCGCCATTACACCAATTTTGCGGTTCTCTATCTCTTTCTATAATATAATAGACAAAATGAAAGCAGAAAGTAAAGCAAACATCGATTAATCAAAATACAGAGACGAAATAAGATCCGGAAGATTGAGAAAGTCGTGGGAGAGAGAGAGAGAGAAAGAGAGGACCTTGAAAATGGCGATGGCGGATCGAGAGAAGGTTGAATCGATTCGAACTTTCTGGATGTTGGGGGTGATGATGGAAATCGACAAAAAGAAGAGAAGTCCGTCAGGGCAACGTAGAGCTCTGATCGATGAAGAGAGAGACGGAGAGAGGGAGTATCGGCGATGGAGTGAGAGTGTCGAGGGAGAAAGGAGGAGAGAAAGGGAGTCCCCCAAAAATCGGGGTTTTCTTTTATTTCTTTTATTTCTTTCCTTTTTTTTTTATTTCGTTGTGTTTTTTTCACGCGTATGCAATTTAGCCGCACCGCAACAACAACAACGCGGAGCCGGAGCACACGGTGAGTGGGACCCACATAGGACCGCAGGGACCCTGTTCGTTGGAGTGCACGTCGACGGTCGACCAACCCCCGCCGGCTCTCCAACCACGCTGTGCTGGACCTTATTAAAATCCCCCCCCGCCAAAAAGTCTATTTTGCTAACTACTCAACCACCTTTCTGCATAATTAACTAATTTTAATTTGTTTGCTCTTTTAAACATGAATTAATAAATACAAAAACATCATTCTTATTACATATTTGTACAAATAATAAGACTTACATGTGTTTGTGGGTTTTATGTCTAAAGATGGTACGAATATGTGGTAAGTATAACATTAGTTTTAATAATAATATCTAAAAATTGTGGAAGATGGTATGCAATTCAATTGTTTCTTGATTCAAATCGGTCTAGTAAGTTTAACTAATTGTTTCTAATGTTCAAAGATATCCGATGTTAGAATTTCGATGCACTTGATAAAATGGTGTAACGTTTTTAAGCGTTTCAAATATAATAATTTTCCATATTTTGGTAAATACATGCTCCTAAGAGCAAGTCCACCCCTAAAAAAAATGTGTCACATAGCTTGGCAAGTCCTGGTCCAGTGGCGAGCAAACTTGTCGCCGAAAGCAGTCTCGATCCTGGTCCACTACATCGGGTAGGAGCGCACATGGTTGGATTCCAAGATGAAATTCCAAAAGTGAAAGTCGTTGGGGTGGCATGGATGGGTGTGTGTATGATCTGGGTTGTTTGGGTGTCGTTCCTGGAGGTACACGTCTGGTTTCTTATTTTGGGGTGAGAATTGAGTGCGTCAAGGTGATGGATGAAGGGTGTTATTAGGGTTTCTTATTTTGGTGGTGAACGCCCCCACAGTCAACACCGTCGCGGCCACTGAGCACGGGATTGCTCACGTCAGATGGCCAAACATGTGGGTCTGTCGATTCTGGGCCGGTCTCTTGCCTGGCTTGGTCTGGGTGCCAGCCTATTAGGTTGGGGGTGGAGTGATTTGGCTAGAGGCCGGCCTGTTTTAGGTGCTGGGTGCCGAGCAATCCACTACTAGTGGACTTGCTCTAAAGGGGATCAAAATTTTCATTTTCTTGAAATTCGAATTTAGGCAAAATTTCCTTTATTAACTTGCTTGTAACAGAGAAGTTATGAATAAAAATAATACCTTTGGTACTCATTTTTATTTCTTATGTGTTAGTGAACGTATGATTTGTCAGCAGGAGATTAATGCCCCTACCTACCTATTCTAAACATGTCATAGTAACTTGTAGGGGTGGGCGTGGTGGGCCAAAACTGACACCAAATCAACCTAGTCGGTTGGGCCAAAATTGCAAACCGAAATCGACCAAGCTAGGTCTAAAATTGATGAGGTTGGTTAACCGACAGTGACGGGTTGGTTTGGGTCCATTCTCTGTTCTCTGTGCTTTGTGAAGATGAAAACACATAACAATTTTTTGTCCAAAAGCTACAAAATGTAACATCAATATGAGTGACTGCTCAAAGTAAAACACAAATAAAGCAGCCCAAAGAGAGCACCAAAGCAGCAACTGATGCCTTCTCCAAATGGTCCACCTGTTCTTCTCTAAAAGGACTCTTAAGGTTGGTGATATTCAGTTTAACCACCGAAAATTAAAAAAAAAAAAAAAGTAAAAAAAAAAAAAAAAAAACCAAACCAAAGTCATCCGCGCGGTTCTGGCGTTTTACTCGGTTTTTTTCTTTAAATGCCCAGCCCTAGTAACTTGTGAAGAAGGAAAAGAAAAGAATCTTATTCTGTAGAACTGGCTGAAAGTTTAGCATAAAGGGTCTTTTCTTGTATCCTTTTCCTCTCATAGCTGCAAAACGCTTTGTTAATAGTTTTACCAACGAATAAACGAATGCGTCGTCTACGATGGGAGAGACTGCTGATTCCCATTTCACCCATCTGATCGCCTCTTGGTTTTCCAGAAAATGAACATTTGCGCTAGGATTAAAGGCCGAATTCTGTAGTTCCTATACAGAATTATGCAAGGATGACTCGGAAGCTAATGGTTATGGATACTACCAGCCTTTATGGACACTGGAAACCAATGTGTTACATTCTCTACTACGAAGAACGAAAAGTTTAAAGCAAAATTTAATACTTTGTGGTAACTTTCCAACCTGCAAATTTCTTTCACAAGCAGAAAACTGCCATTATCAGAAGGGATTCTATGTAATCTATATCCTCCGAAACTGGAGGAATTACATGTTGAATCATGATGAATTGAAAATGAAAGACGTGTGGAGCGTGCATATATGCAATCAATCCTGTATCATCTCTGCTGTATGGCGGTATAAACATCTGCACGCGAGAATAAAGCATTCAAAAGGAAGATCTTGTTCTCATTACATGTGTGAGTTCACTCTTGTTAATTTTTAAACACAAAAACAAACCCCAAAAAACTGCACAGAGTGACTAATTCAGATACATATTGTCTCAATAAAACTGCACATATATCCCTAAACAATGTAAAGCATTACAAGAAGTATGATAAATATGAGTTGGCAGGATACTGATTGAATAAACCAACCTGAACAACTATAGGGGAAGCATGCTTGGCAAAGTGCTGCTGAATATACTCCGTCACGTCAGGATTTGTTCCTTAAAATGGTGGTCAAGTATGTAGGATGTTGGGCCCAATGCCCCCCATCCAATCTTCACAAGTATATGAAAGCATTCCGCTTCCATGAAAGGAATAATCAGATCTGATCGCAGTTTAAGGAGCAGGATCATCAATCCGAAGACTGAAGGCCACCTGTCAACTGCTTGATCCTGTAAGAGTTTTGCTAGGAACAATCAGTGACCATTTAACTCTCAAAATATGAATCCAATAGTTTGAAGCCCTAAGTTGACAAGGACTAGACTAGACCAAAAACTATCTTATCCATCCCAACATAAGCTATCAAGTTCAAACATAACACACCCAACTAGACAAACGTCTTCGGATGTTAGTAGTCTAGTAGTTTGAGCTTTCCATTGACCAGAATTACCAAACAGTCATTAATACACAAATACCAACAACAACAAAAATCACTCAAATTGTAATGGAACATTTGTGGAAACACATACCTTCCTTAAAAGCATATAAAGGGTTCCCCTTTGCCACAAGCAGAAAACTGCCAATCAGAATGGATTCTATGGACTTTAATCCAAGTATTTGACTTGCATGCCAAAATGACAATGTTCGAACATGCTCTACGTGTGGTCTGAATTTACTGACAAGGACAACTCACTTCCCCTTCTCAGCCACTTCTGGTAAACACCAAATGCCATGTCAGGCTCCTCAATTTTGCATTACTTCTTGAAAAGTATCTGATATGGAACATGATCAATGGGTAAACCAGATTCCCGCATCTTTGTAAAAAGCTCTTCTGCCTCCTTCATGTTTCCTCTCATGCAGTGCCCTCTGATTAGTGCAGCATAGGTAAATATATCTGGATCAAATCCTATTCTCAGCATTTCATCATACAACCGGAATGCAAAATAAATGTGCCCTAACTTACAAGCAGCACCTATCAACAAATTATAAGTGACCACATCAGGACAAAGACCAGACATAAGCATTTCCTTTTTGAGAACAAGAGCACGATCAATGTTTCCTCCTTTTACTTGTGCGTGGATCAACGCATTGTAAGTATACACATTTGGTTGAACACCAGAAGCGAACATATGATCCTTGACTGAGAGTGCAGTACTAAGATTCCCATATCTTCCATAACAATCGATAATACAATTCCATGGTAGAGGCTCAGGCACCATTGACTTCTCTAGCATACAAAGAAGAAACTTGTTAGCTCTGAAAACATCTCCTTTAATACACAGGCCCTGAATGATTATTTTGTATGAAATTTGATCTGGAGTAACTCCCATTTTTGACATACTTTCATGGACGTAGCAAGCCTCCTCTAATTTTCCTTCTTTGCAAAGACCACTTATAAGTGTATTAAAAGTAATAACATTAGGAAGTAATCCTCTTTTGATCATTTCACAAAGGGAACCGTAAGCAAGGTTCATGTCTCGACTCAAACAAAATCCATGGATGAGAACATTATAAGCAACGACATCTATTTGGGTATTCATTTGGACCATTTCATCCCAAATATGAAGTGCCTGAACTGTATTCCCGTTTTTAAGATAACCATCCATAAGTATAGTTGAAATGATTAGATCTGATGCTGTCTTGTCATTATCAACATCCAATATCTTGTTAAGAAGCTTCTTTGCATTCTCCATAAGACCTTTCTTGCACAATGCATGTACAAGTATGTTGCAAGTGACTCTATTCGGACTAATACCACTGTTACTCATCGTGGAGAAAAGATAGAGAGCTTTGTCCACATCATCAAGAAGGCAATAACCCTTAATAAACGTGTTGTATGTGGCGCAGTTGGGAGAAGGGCCAATTTCTAACATCTCTCTAAGAAGCCAATCTGCCTTCTCCAAGTCACCAGTTTTACATAGTCCGTTTAGAAGATAATTGTGCGTCAAAACATCAGGAACAAAGCCTTTCTTTATCATTTTTCTCCGAAGCCAAAAAGCTGTTCCCAACTTACCATCCATGCATAAAACCCTTATGATGCCCATGTGATCCATGTAGTTAACTTTCGAAGTGCAACTTATAAAGCCTATCTCTGTCATTGATATGCTTTCCCTGCAATTTTTCATATAATCAACAAAAGCATGTAATGAAATATTAACTACGAAATATGTATCAATCCTTGAGCACTAGTCCCAATCTATCAAACAAGATTGCGAATTTGATCCTAAAAATTACAAAGACCGAAAACTGACCTCATTGTTTTCAGACGTTCCAAACTGTCCTTCAACATTGCATCCAACGCATTGAAAACCGCATGTGGATCTTGTTCACCATCGGAATTATTTTTCTTTGAAAACCAATGTTGAGCATT